TAAAGGTAGCCTTATATTATCCGAAAATTCAGCGTGAACTTCAACTTGACGGACATAAGGTTTGTGTTGTATGTACACTGAACCTCAATGATGGTGTGTTTAGTGTGTGAAAGCAGTGCGCTGAGGTAAAAAAAGAGATTGGGCGGTGTCTGCTCACTTATCTTGGCCTGTGCGTGCAACGCAGAGAGGAAGCATTATATGAAGAAGCATTTTCATTTTTTTTTTAATCTTTGGCTTCCTCAAAGATGAATCTTCATCTACTGCCCACGATTCAGAAGAAGCAAATTGCAAAATTAAAATTCTTGGCTTTCTCATACAGGGACTTTGTACGCTACTTACGATTCGGAGGAAGCAAATTGCAAGTTTCAATTTGCAGCATGTTTAACGTGAGTCCCCATGCCTCTCACAACTTGGGGTGCTTCATACTGTAGAGAACGCATGTAAGGATAAATCTATTGCATGATCCCTTCGGGCCTAATATTTTTGAATTGGCTGAAATTAAAAAACGTGAATATACATATAATCAGATCCGTTTTGCCGATGTCCGCCACATTTGAGACATATCACGGCTAAATGATACTCTATACTTTTCGAAAATTGGAGCTCAATCGGTCAAAGTTGACAGGAGTTATATTGATAAATTTAATTTTTCGAAAAATTCAAAATATCATAAAATCAAAACTTCTCGATCGATTCGGTCCAAATGCAATACCAACCAACCTTGGATACATATGTCTTTGTCAAGAACTATTTAGACGATTATCACAAAATTTGCGATCGCTAGAGTGCGAACGTCCTTTTTTTGGAAATTTGAAAATGACATCAATTTTGAGCCACAGCTTGAATCATGATGAAAATTATAGTCAATGAAGGTATTATAGAGCTGCATATGCCTGCAAAATTGGGGGGCTGTAGCTAAAACACACACACACATCCGGACATTTTCTCCAAACGTGTTTTCTCGACGTTTTGGCACATTCTGAACATGGTGACACGAAAATCTCGACATGAAAATTTTCCACCGTCACATAGATTCCTCTATGAGGAAGCAAAAAGGAGATTGAGCGGTGTCTGCTCACTTATCTTGGCCTGTGCGTGCAACGCAGAGAGCACTACGATGCGAGCGAGAACTCCAGAGTGTCGCTCGTTGCATCCTTGTTGCACGAGTATAAGTGAGACGGCAAGAATGTCCCTCATGCGCAGTAGGGAGATTGGTGGGGGACTGCTCGTGTCCGGGCGTACGCTCTTGCTCTCTTTGCCTCAGACTAATGCTCTATGACGAGACAGCTAGTACCCGATAAGGAGCGAGAAGGGGTTGCGCGACTCTCACTGGTGCTAATGAGACAGACTTTTTGATTACCCATCCTCTTCACACAGCATTAGTGCGACAAAGACACATAGCTGCGACGTGGTGTCTAGGAATAGCGTCCAGTAATATTTTTCGCGACTTTCGGCCGTGAACGCTCTAGCTGAAATGATCTATCTGCAATCTAAAAACCTAACCGGTTATTAAAGTTAACATCAAATACGAGATTTTTTTTACAAAAATAAAAAATCTATGAAAAAAGCCGCCGTTTTTACGTGACTATTAAAAAATTATGATTGATTTAAAAAAGGTGAGATCGTTAACGACCTCTAAATGTTTATCATCGTATTTCATGTAAATTTGAGAACAATCCATCAAGTAGTTCTCGGGGTGTTATGTCCACCGGCTTCGAAAATAGTGTTTTGAGAAAAACGTGTTTAAAGTTTGAGGTATGGTACTGTTATTTTTACGTGAAGAATTTTTAACTTCACCTCTAGTCATCAATTCCAGAGCGATGTGAAGTATCATCAGTAGCAATTGCAGCTTTATAGGAAGAGGATTGACATTTGCAAGCAATTCTTCCTTCGCGTGTCGCCTCCTGAGTTCGAATTTCGAATTTGAAAGAGAAAACCGCGCCAGGTAGCGCAACCCGGCTGACTGCTAGAATCTGTAGCTTAGTCAATTATGGGAATATGTCAATGAAATATTTAAAGAATGTAGCTAAAAGGTGATATTATCGAATATATATATTTGTCAAAAATGCAATTTTTTGATCCACCTACATACATAGATGTAGCCTTTTAAATGAGGTTTGTTAAATGTGAAATATCGATAAAACAAAGAACCAGGTATAAATGTTTGTCAATCTTCTATATGTTGTGACGTACTGGGCCTCGAAAAAGGGCCCAGGGTCTCGCAAGTACAGCTATCTCAATAATCCGGGAGAGGGGGTAGGGGATCGAAGAAAGGGGACACGATGTAAAATAAAAAGAAAGTATAATTAATCATAAAATAACGTACAATAACCAAAAACTAACCGAACAACAAAAAGAAAGAAAAGAACAGAAAAGAAAATATGTTCACGCGTGCACTCACTCGGGAGCACGCGGTGTCGGAGGGCTTTAAATGGGATTGGTGGGAAGGGGGGTCGGGGAATGGAGGGGAACAATATCTGGGCGCCAGCTACTGTCACGGTGTAGCACCGACGAGTGACCCCGAGAGGTCCTCGTTTGTTTACTTCTTTGGATCGGCACGGCTAGCGGAGGGAGCGGTGAGGAGGGGGTCTCAGGGAAGAAGGTTCTCGATCGCAATATGGCTACTTTACAAATTACCTCGGTTTGAACGCAAAAAGGGAAGGGAGAGGGCACGGGGGTTTTCCAAAAAGGGCGCAACTACTATAAAACGCACGCAATATACCACGGGCCTCGAGTGTAGGGGCGGAAGGCCCGTCGCAATTACAAAGCAACTAACGAAATACTAGGCCACGTGGGCCAGCTCGCAGACGTCCTGCAGGGACCTACAAAATGTAAAACGCAAATTCTAAGGGTGGGTGATATGGAAAGGATGGCAATCGGGAAAACTCAAGCACTCTGTACTCACTCAACAATCCTTCACACTGGTAATCCAAAAACCCTTCGTATGCACTCACTCACTTTACCGTTATTTATACGCAATTCGCACTCGCTATTCTCGCTCGCAATCCCTGGCTCGAAGTGGCTAAATTTCCGGTCGTCCGGGCCCTCGTGGGCCTCCAGGGCCTCGCTGATTGGTGGTGGCTGCTCAGCTGAGAGGGCTACGCGCTTCGGTCTACAGAGACACGTTACACTCAATCGTTAATCCTTAAAATATGCATTAAAACAATTACATAGCAGATGCGAAATGCAAAATAAACACTAATCATCTCGTCAAAAATGTATAGTGCATGAAAAAAAAAATATTGTTGCAATTGAAAACTATTTTTTTTATCTCGCTCTATACGCAAATTACAGTGTAGAAACGAAAAAGCTGTTATTTTGGAGGATGCTTTATTACATATTTATATGTACATCCTAGCGAAGAAGTTAAGGGTGGATATCACCTGTTCAATACGACGTACTAAAGTAACCAAAACACATGTATCAGCTAATTTTTCATGCTTTACATATCTATAAAATGACATTCTAATAGAAGGAAAACCCTCTTAGATATGCATCAGAAAAATACATTTTTAAATAAATAATTTACAATTTAAAAATTTATTAATCGCTCTTACCACAGATGAGTACTACGCGAAAAATGCCATAACTATCTTACCCTGTTTACGGGTTATAATCGAAGAACTGAAAAATCAGCAATTTTTAAGGGTGCGTTTCACCTCTAAAAGTGGGGTTCCGTCAAAACAAAAAATCGTGTGTGGAATAACTTTAATCCACTCTACAATCGTACAAAATTTTATTAAAATCTGACAGGGACACCTCGTACGGTTTCCTTGTTAATCTTGCCCGTGCCTGGTGGGGCGCATCTCTCGTGTCTGTAGTCATTTGGACTCCTTTATAGTTCAGTGTTCAGCTGTTTTTTTTCGATTATACAATATTGCTAAGCCGGCAGAAAAATCTAGGCTACATAAATCTGTAAATCTAAGCCACTCAAAATTACATAAATATGAAAATAAAAATCACAAGAAGCGGCGCCGCGACCATAGGATACGGTATTGTCGACAAGCGTGCGAGTGGCTTGACGCATTGTAGAAGCGGGGCTTAGGGAAACTCGAGATTACGAACTTCCGTCCCTGAACTGTTCATAAAATCGGGGTCCTACTGTATACAGGGTGTCTTGTAACCATTAATTAATTTTCCAAGGAGCGAAACAGAGTAGAACTTTAAACTGAAAGTTTCTTCTACGTTTTCGTCTCAGTCCATTATTTAGCGAGTTAGTAATAATTAATTTTGAACAATAAACCGCGACGAAACGCGAGATAAAAAGGGAGTACGCATGAACGTAGCACGCTGTCGAGCCCCTCGTGATTTCGATACATTCTCTCAGTTAAAATTTCATTTCAAATTTTAAATTGATTAATAAACCAATAAATTGATGAATAAATAAATAAATGAATAAATAAACTAGTAGATAAGAATGAAAACAGTTAGAAAATTCAAAATTCCACGTGCCTTAAACCTCTGAAAAATGAATTAATCCTTTTGAGAAACCATGTATTTTAAAAATGGTGTATTTACATGTACGATTTCAGTGATATGTAACAATTCAGTAACTGATACTTGATTAATAAGATTTTATTTGACGCTATATGTACCACAAACATAATGTTAAAACATACAGTTATTAATTACGCGGTGTACATGCAACCGTATAGGTAATTTTCATACTAACAATTAATATGTACAATGGGTTTCACTTAATGTCCATAATAATTTGTAGATTACCATTATCGTTTATTGGTGATTTACTTTTTAAAAAAGTCCATTGTGAATGTTAATTTTTCTTACACCAATGAAGCTTTAATTGCCACCGCAGAAAATTAAAATGAAACCTATTATAAAATTACGAGCATAATGAGTGCATTTATTGGTTTATTTTCCTTACAGATAGGTATAAATGGACTGGTAAAATTGCGATAAGCAAAGTTTCGTTTGAGTTAATTTGAAGCTTTCTAATTTTTTATGAGATTTTTTAAAAGAATTCTTTTGATTATTTTCAGAATGCGCCAATGAGATTCTTTTATCGGGTTGCTCAAGAAGAACAACGTCTTGAAGCTCCTCCATATGATAGGCCATCAACCCCTGGACCTGGCGCGAGTTTGCCACCCACAGAAGTATCCATACTATCTGAAGATGTTAACAACTTATCTAATATTTCATCTAATGTAGATTTGACGAAATCTGATTTAAAAATACGGAAACTCAGTACGAATGATAGCAATATTTCTAGTGAAGAAAGAAATATTTCTAGTATAAACCATGTATTTCAGAATGTAATTGGTAGTGACCTCGAAGAATCGTCAGTATTGAATGATAATCACAATTTATCAGATAAGATAGATGAACTTGAAAAATCAGCATCTGGTGAGGTTGATAATCTAAAAAGTGATATGATTAGCCAAATAAAAGATATCAGCTCAGGTGGAAGTGTTCATATTCATAAATTGAAGTACAAGGAAACTACTAAAACAGATGTTTGTGAAAGGACTGGTACAAATGATCTCAGGAATGAAGCTGTATTAAGTAATAAAACCAATAATGATGCACTCATTTCCTCTGCTAATATCACCACTGGATTATCTTGTAAAAATGTGCAAGAGGATGGAATGGAAATAAAATGTTCGGTTAAAAGTCCCATAAAGATATTAAAAAATTCCGATGGTGGCTATGAAGTTCTACGGGGCCCTTCAGTGGTTACAAATATTGATGATCAAGCAAACAATCCAAACTTGAAAACAGCTGTCACTCTTGGAAACGGGAAGAATTTTAATGGAGTAAAAATAAATTCGAAACAATATTCATCTGGACCAAACAGATCGAAAAAACCCAAGGTCATAAGTAATATCCTATTGCGCTGTGGACAAGTAGATAGGGATTCTACTTCTGGTATCCTTCAACAACTCCAAAAGGATAAAATTAATAAAGGAAAAGATACGAAAGTTGGGACAATTGAAATTTTGGAGAAAGCGGAAGAGGTGGAAAAATCGAAGAAAATCGAAAAACCAGAAAATGAAAATGTAAGTATTTGTCTTTCTTGTAGATGTTCTACAAGGTGTTTAGGTTTATCCACACGTGGGTAGCAGTATTGAATTCTTCATACAAAATAAGAAGACACATGTTTAACTCTGTGCCGTATTGAAAAGCTTCAGTAATCTTCCAATGAGCTATGTGGGGCAATAGTTAATCACGTTACAACTGGCAGCCGTGTTAGTGCACTCTATATGCCGTTCACTAAAAGGGCGACCACGCTCCGCGCAGCTTTCGGAAGAGTGGTGGAGAGTACGAGAACTCGAGCGCTGTATTCAATGCCGTATGCGTTATTATCTTAAGCTTAGGCCTCAGCATACAATTTACTCTTCATCGCGGAAAACCTTACTTCCACTTTCGAATTTTTTTTCCATTATAAAATAAAATTCACTTTCACAAAACACAGTACTGCTGTATGTGACCGCTAATTGTGAGATGTTTGAAGTGACGCATTAGGGTTTATGGGATCGGACTTCATCTGCTTACTATAAGCGGGCTACAAGATCCAATAGACAGCGTGTGTTACGTCCTATGCGTGAGCAACCGTTTGCGGGAGCATCAGGGAGCTAGCATAGGTATTGAGATCAAAGATCACGTAAAAGGTATTGGGTTCTTGCCACTTTAAGGTGCTAAGCCACGCCTATTTACATTTATGACCCTTGGTCGATAGTTAAGATGAGGATCATAACCAGATACTAAATATATTGATTTGGAAAACTTACTCCCTCTACGTGAGTTTGGTTAAAGCTACCGGATAAAGGGTTTATCTGGGTTTAGGAGCTAATAGGTTCAGGTTTCGAAATCAAGAAAAGAAAATATGGTTTAACTCAATATAATGAAATAATAAGCAGGAGTACAAGTAACTGTCACAGTTACATGTAATAAAGAGTACATTAATCTACTAACTAAATGAAATCTGAATAACACTCTATGTGTAATCGTCAACTTCTGTAGTGTGAGTTACAAAGATATATACAGGGTGTTCCTTATGAAACGCACTGTAGTAACATCGTTGCATTCTTTGTCAAATTCTAATGAATACGTATATTTTCATTTTTTATTTCATATATCAAAATTTCAAGATAATCAAGGTTGAAGTTGCAGTAATGCGACCAATCAGAGCGCGTTTAAACGGAGCGTAGATGACGTCGCGAGTCAGCCCGCAAGACCTGCTTACACTAGGCCAATAACACTAAGAGTATCGTCGTAGTGTCCCTGTTTATCTGCATGTAATTGAGTGAGATAGAATCGCTCACTGTAACGTCAGTGAATTTCAGAAGGTACCCTTTATTCCTTATAATGTCTATTCCTTTAATGTGACAAGATAGTTGTAGCAACGTA